TCGGACATCAGCAATGATATCTCTTGTTCCATGGCCTCTTCTGAATCCAGCTTGAACCTCTGGAAGTTCTCTGTCAATGTGTGATTGTAGCCATTTCCATAGCAAAACTTTACCTTTAGCAAAACTTTACTCGCTTGAGATATCAAAGAGATTGTCCGATGATTTTCTCTCTTTGGAATGGGTACAAATATGGATCTCTTCCAATCAGACAGCCAGATAGTTGTCTCCCAAAATCTTGGCAGAGATGAGTGAGTGCCTCCTGTGCCGCCTCACTTTCTTGAAAGATTTCAATTTTTATTCCATCAATTCCTGATGCCTTGTTCTTTGCCAATTCCTTCAGTGCACTTTGGACTTCCTCCCTGAGTATCATTGGCTCTTGATCATATGGTACCTCTTGAAATGGTTGAACATTAACCATTTCCTGTACTAGACCAGTTCAAACTCACCAGCCATTGCTCCGAATGAGAAAGATAAGACTGGCTGCTCCTGTAAAGGTTTGCCGTCTCGGAAACCTGAAGGAACAGTTCTCTGTCCTGTAGGGTCACTGTTATTCACAATGGACTCTTCCAGTGGAGATGAGTTTGGAGTACCACAGTGTAAATGTGTTTATGAAAGTTTCAACAAATTGGTATCAGACACACTACATACATTTTCTGAAAAGGATACAGTTGAGGATAAATAACAGAAATGAATAATTCCCATGCACTTGGAAATGAAAAATAGCAATTCTTAATAATTTTTCAATTCAAGAAAACATCAGAATGAAAAATTTTAAAAATTTCAAATTTAGTTATAATTAATACGCAAGGGCGCTTCAAAAAACTTGTGAGAAAATTTGTTAATGTTTTAGTTCCATTATTTTCCATTTATGTTGGTGAGATGTAACATAGGTACTTTGTGGGAAATATTCTTATTGCAAAGAAAAAATTAATGAGCTAAGCATGTTAGTAAAGAAGTTAATATTTGAAAACTAAAACCTAAATACAAATTTTTACCCAAACACATTTTTATGTCTGAAATACTGAATATGGTTTTATTGCTATTTCAGGGGTAGTTAGTATGAGTAATACATTTTTTTTTTACTAACTTTCTTAGATAAATGTGTGAAACTTGTTTTTTAAAGTGCCACCTTTCCTTAGTGTTTCCTAAGGAACTGTTTTAAATGTTGTGAGTGATGCTGTGCTTTTTAATTAAGAATGTAAATTATAGGCAACAGATTAAATATAATTGAAACCTATGAACAAACTACCCTGTCTATCCCAATTGAATGTATAACTTATAAAATTTTTCTTAGTTTTATGTGGTACAGCCCAACCATATCCTATATGAACAAATAATTTGCAATTGAATTAGATAATTGAACTGTACTGATTTTATTTTTGGGGTCCCTTTTGTTTTACTAAATAATTCTCATTCTTATTGTTTGCATTTTCAAATCTACCTGAGCATTGCTTAGGACTTAAAAGTTTTCATTTAAGTCTTAGACATGTAAAAAGACTTAGATGAAACATTTAAAATTTTTGTGTAATAAAATTGTTAGAATTATAAATTATTGCTTAGGAGATTTGATTTTTTTAACTTAATTTTTTTTTCTGTAGTAAATATTTTCTTCTACTAAAACCAAACACATAAGCCTAATATTTATATAATAGCGCAAGTCAAGCTGCTCTACCTGTAATCCTTTAACTCTGCTTGCTAGATCTTTTCCTTTTTTTCTGTCTATAAACATAGGCATCTCTAGGCAAATTCTTGGGTTTTAGAATTGAGAACCATCAGCCTGATATATCAACAAAGCTCTGTATTCGTTTGCCATATTTTAGATAGTTCACATGCTTTTGGATGTCTTGAACGTTATCTGTAGGTTCTGAGACAGTTGTTGCATTTGAAATATTTTTAAAGTAACTTATAATTATACTATGCCTTTTTATTTCTAAAGGTACATGCCTTGGCTAAACTTTAATATCATTCTCATTTAGCTTGAGTCATTGTTTTTCCATTGAAGACTCAGATGATACATCAAAGGACTTTGGTCCACAAGCATTCCAACTGCTATCTGCTGTAGATACCTTAGGAGAGAAATATGGAATTGGGCTTCCCATTTTGTTTCTCCGAGGATCTGTAAGTATATCCATGATTCACCAGCATGGTTCTTCTTTCACTCTTACTAGAATTCTCTTTGATTTTAGATGAGATACTAGAAACCCAGTGGGTTCCATTTAAACACTGCATTCATTACTTTAGACAAACCTGTGTGTATTATCTATTCTGCTGTTTTACACCCCAAACTGATGCTCAGCTCTGCACCTCAGTCTAGAAGCATTGTGTTAATTTATTACATTGCAGTTGGGTGACTCCCTAGACTGGTCTTTCTTAGGATAATTAAGTAAAGGTAACTTTCAATGTTATCTAGGGACAGATGGAAAACAATTGTATATTTTGGTGTCCTGGCAGATATTAAATTATTTGAGTAAAAATATAGTGAATATTTTATAAGTGTCTTAGTTCAGTAACAATATTTGACAAGTATTTTTTCTTCCCTTTTATTCTGTTTCTTATCAGAAGTATTTAAAATTATAAAGAAGTTGCTTTTTGTTTTATTGACAAATAAATAACCTATTTTTTTTTCCTTCTCGTTATTAGTATTATGCTAAAAACTGCAAGAACAAATAGGAATAAGACATGACCCTTAAAGTGGAAGAATTTTTTTCTTTAGGCCTTTGAATATATAATTTATAGTGATTTATAAGTCTATAAAGCAAAACTAAATAATACATATTAATAGTATTGATTTAACTTGAATAATGCAGAGTGAGTGAAATATACATAAAAGTAGAGATTTAAAAACTTTTTTACATACAATTTTTCATTATTTAGGTAAGCACTTATTTGTTAAATGCTCATCTTTTATATAAATATTTTCTGAGTTTTTATTTTATAAAGGAACATATTTAAATATTTCTGAGATTTTTGGATGAAATATAATCAAAAACTTTTGGTAACTTTTCATGCACTGATGATTTTAGATTGTGATTAGAGTCCTAAATTTTGTTTTTATACACAAATTTGATTAGAAATTAAATAGTAGAAACGTTACTTAAGAAACTTTGTTTTAGATGTTATGAGTAATACTATAGTTTTTATAAAAAGTATGTAATTGTAAGGGACAGATTAGTTATAATCTGTTATAACCTAGCTAAAGTTTTTTCTCTCTGTCACTTTCAAAATTTGTATATCCCTGTTGAACGTATAATTTATAAAAATTGTCCTTGTTTTAATTTTGTATAATCCAGCCATATCCAATATCAACAAATAAGTGTAAGTGGGTTCCTAGACAAACTTGAACTGGTCACAAGAGGGATCAGATTTCACCTATTATTTGAAAACCAAGTTAGACCGCTTATATGGCAGACTCTTCTGGGAGTTGTCAAATTAAGAAGTTTATCCTTTGTGAAATTTTATACTACCCTTGCTAGTAAAAGTGGAAAACTTTTTTTTAAAAGTGCCACTTAACTAAAATGTGTAGCCACTAACTGCAGTGAAAAATAAGGCATGGTTTTTTTCCTCCTCCTTTCAGTGATCATGGTATCTATTGGGATATTGTCTAAAAGATTTTAATTATAATCCCTTTGAGAATTTAGTAAATCATCCACCACAACTAACTATAAGAAAAAGTAATGTCTTTGTAGATAATTCTTATGTACAAGATGAGAAGGGTCTTAAAACAGGAACTAGTGGAATAAGAGTAGTGGAGATTTTGCTGCTTACAGAAAGTTGGGAGCTACCTATGTAGTTTCTGAGTATTTAAATTTCACGTTTCTAAATATGCTGCAAGTAGGCTAGTCTTATGTTGGGTGCCGTTGAATCATTGCTAACTCATAGTGATCTTATACACAGCTATTAGAAACCAACCTTTCTTCTTTTACCTACTGCATTCTTAGTCTTACTGCAGAAATCTTGAAACTTCCATAGATAGTCTCTGTACTATCTGACCCTCTGTGGTGGTGGTTGTATGCTGTGGAGTCAATTCCGATTCATAGTGACCCTGCATAGGGTTTCTGAGGCTGTAAATCTTTACAGGAGTAGAAACCCTCATCTTTCTTCTGGTACAACTGGTAGTTTTGAACTGCTGAACTTGAGGTTAGCAGTCTGACTCATAGCCAGTACGCTACTAGAGGTCCTTATCTGGTCAGCTTTTGCAATAGTACCTTTTTGGTTGGTGGCCCATCTTTCTTGTAAAACACCTGTGCAATTTGTGATTGTGCCTACTCTTAACCTTCTGACAAAAGTACTTTACAGAATCACCATTTTACAGAAGTCATGAATGGTGGGAATGCAGTAATGATGACAGTCTACTATCAATTGTTGTAACATACTGGTTGGATGAAAGATGAGGCTTTCTGCTCCTGCAAAGATTTAAAGCCCTGGAAACACTATACAAGGTTGCTATGAGTCGGAACCGACTTGCTGGCACTTTACAACAACAACAAAGTCTTTATGGAAGCGGACTGCCACATCTTTCTCACACAGAATGTCTAGTGGGTTCAACTGCCAACATTTCTGTTAGCATCCAAGGACTTAACCACTGCGCCTCCCAGGCTCCTTTTTAAAGAGACAAGATGTATAATTATTTAACAAATACAATTTCAGTAGTGCAAGATTCTCTCCTCTTACTTAAGAGTATTCTAAATTATATAAATTAATATATAACTTATACAAGAATCTCAGTGTATTATCTAACATATAAATATCTTTAAACATCCTTGTTTGTGAAAAAGCAATAGAATATGCAAAGATCTTAATTTTATAGATTGGAAAACAAAAGTACAGTCATTAATTTGCATAGCCAGGCAAGTAAGTAAACTTCTTTTTTGATCATATTATCAAAGTGCTAAATATTATAATAGTTCCAGAATCAGATAAAACTTTTGAAAGATACTTTGATTCTAGGCAGCCATTAGCACTGTTAATGGTTTTAATTATCCTTCATATTTGTCTAACTGGAGAGTATTGTCCATTTAATTTCTTGGAGAAACTACTTAATCTGATTGAGGTAAATTCCTAGAGACATCAATTGTTGCTTTAATTTTTTTTGGGTTTTGTTTTATTAGGCTCATAGAATATCAGCTCGAGGAATAACTTTCTCAAACCCTGCAGTAGTTAGCTGTGGCATTCTTTGGCTTAAAGGAATTTGGAGACATTAAAAAAAAAATTAAAATGTGAAACAGAAGCTATGGACTTGTTTTGTTCTTTTAAGAACATAGGGATTTAAAACTTCTTGAATTAGACTTTATAACTATATTTTATACTAGTTATTGAATATTTATTTTGTATAAGATATTATACTATGTTTTGGGGGCATGGGATCCAAATTTGATGTGTATTTATCATCTAGTATGGAAGGTGTTGTTTACACTCATAGCATAAGGTCAGCAGTTTGAACCACCTGCCTTCTTATGGGAAAAAGAGGAAACTTTCTGCTCTGGTAAAGATTTACAGTCTTGGAAACCCCATATGGGGTCACTATGAGTTGGAATCGACTCTATGGCAGTGAGAGTGAGTGAATGAGATGGAAGATGTTAGTTATGAGGAAATATGTATAATGTAGCATGTTGTTGTTGTTAAGTGCCGTCAATTCGGTTGTGTCACATAACTACCCTGTCTGTATAGGATTCCAGGTGTTGCGCTGTAGCATCAGCACTGGACTGCAAATCACAAGGTTAGCAGTTCAAATATCAGCTGCTCCTTGGAAATCCTGTACAGGGTCACTATGAGATGGAACCAGTTCCATAGGCTAGTGCTTTTTTGTTTATTATACTCTTACTGTTCACATACAGTTTTAAACTTGCTTTTCTAGATTGAATAATCTAGACACTAAAATGAAGATTTTTTTGGTTGGTACATATATATATGTATGTGTGTGTATTGGTGAGTGTAGAGTTGTGCCGCTTTAAAATTCATGCCCAAGTCTTTTATTCCCTAGAGCAAGATTCTCATTCCAAGCAGTTTCACTCCATAAGCGGTTAAGCAAGAAAGTTAACCAGAATACTTAAGCAATTAATGGAGACATTCTTGCTCAGATTAAAGAATTGTTAAACATTGTCAATTGATTGACTTTCAATGTCTAGTTGAAAAGGGAGTATGTTGTCTTTAAGAGAAAGTTGCTCATTATCAAAGAGCTTAGATATTTTATTCTGTGGGTGATTGTCATGGAAACAAGTCAATGTAAATTTATTCACACAGTGTACAGAACTCATAATAATTATTGATTATGAGAGGAAGGATTGATTACTTCCTACTGATTCAAAAGATTGTCATTTCTTCAGATTAGAAACGGGCTCATTCACCTTAGTTTTTTCTGTGTATGAACGAGTAGAGCAATTTTTGTGTCTAGTGAGCTAGTAAGTGCTAGTTGTTGTTATGTGCCGTGGAGTCGGTTCTGACTCATCAGAACCTGTACAGGGTTTCTGAGGATGCAAATCTTTACGGGAACAGAAAGTCTCATCTTTCTCCTGCGGAACAGCTGGTAGTTTCGAACTCCTGACCCTGAAGTTAGCAGCTCGATTCGTAACTACTACACTACCAGATCTCCTTAGGAAATCTAATAAGCTTTGATGTTAATAGTTTGTAAGGAATAGAGTGTCTTCTGATAAAAGTAAGCCCCTAGAAGATGTAGAGAGCCTTAAGCAATTGTTCCAGAAAGAACTGACTAGATATTAAGTCATGGTTTTACATGTAGTTTAAGACATTCAGTTTAAGTCAAAGGATCCGCTGGAAAAGTAGTTAATATATAATAAGACAGGTGCTTTTCTGGTTACTCTTTTAATCTTTACAACATCCCCAAGAGATAGAAACTATTATACTATATAGCAGATGAAAGGAGCCCTGTTAGCCCAGTGAGTGATTGCTTGGCTGCTAACCAAATGGTCAATAGTTCAAATCTACCAGCCACTCTGTGGGAGAAAGATGTGACAGTCTGCTTCTATAAAGATTGCAGTCTTTGAAACCCTATTGGGCAGTTTTACTCATTGGCAATGGATTTTGTTTTGTTTTTTAAATAGCAGATGAAGAAATAGAATATTGGGTTGATAACTGCAATATCAGTAGTTTGAATTCACCAG